GCAGCGGCCTGTGATCGGCTCTGCCATTGAATGTTTTTGTGCAAAGGCGAGAATGATGGCTCCAAAGTACCAAGAGCAGCGGGCGAGCACAAAAGAGTGGAGCCGACACTGTCAGCAACATGTTTGATCCGGGAGAGAAAGAGCGAGAGAGAGAGAGAGAGAATCACAGTCCCTTCAAAGCCCCGTAGCACATGGGGGCCCCGCCCATGTGGCCGAGGGACCTAACCCGTCCCTTACGCCCAGTGAAAGAAGAGAGAATACAGAGCGCTGAGTGTGCTTAAGGTGGCCGTAGGGGTTTGGGTTGATTATCAGAAGCCGGACATTGGTCTGACCAAGCTATCAACTAGCAGTTTCTGACGGGCAAAGTTGTGGGAGCGCAGCACGCTTTGCAAGAATGACAGAGAGAGGGAGACACGGACAGGGAGTGACCCCGTGCCCCCGGCAAGCCAGAGACGGAGAGAGAGCCGGAGATGATGTTGTGCTACGTAATTACTGGTTCGAACCGTGCTAAGTCATTGGCATGTTGTCTTCCGGACCATTCCGGGCTCAGATCTGTACAGCGGGAGTTGTCGCCCACAATATGCCTGCAGATGCAAAGAGGAGGCAGCGCGTGCCCCTGAACGTGAGTTTTAGCAGGTCATGTCTTCCTGCCGTGGTGAAGGCAATGGCTGAAGAGCAAGAATAGATCCTTTCCGCGCATATTTGACCCAAGGAGTTTAGCTTCAGGCCCCGACATCGTGTTGAACTCCTGCGAGGGGCATGAAGTTCGCTAGGTAATCCCTTTCATCCGTGAAAAGCATAATGAGATGTACAAGGCTGTGTTCCCTTGCAGCTGATGGGTGGCTGCTCGGCAAAGCACGCAAATGGCTCTCAGCTGGCCCAAGCTCTAGGAAACTTTCGCGGCAGCACCTTCTTAGTCAAATCGACCATGGCAAAGCGCAGTACCAATCTGCTGGTGGCGGCTGTGGTGGCTTGCGCCGTGTACGTCCTGCTGCCGGTCGAGAGCTTCGTTGCCCCGCAGTCGCTTCGCGGCTCCACCCCACAGGCCGAGGCTGGAGCATTCGCCCAGGCACCCACCTTTCAGACGGAGGGCCGGTCGGTGCAAGTGAGCATGGCGGCGACGGGTGGCGAGCCTACCAGGTTTCCCCTCGTCTTCTTGGGCTTGTTGGCGGGCACGGCCGCGGTAGGCCTCCTGGCCGTCTTCTTCTACGGCTCCTACTCTGGTGCAGGCAGCGGCCTGTGATCGGCTCTGCAAGTAGGCCGACCGTTTTTGTGCAAAGGGCCAGAATGATGGCTCCAAAGCACCAACAGCCGCAAGCATCAACAAAAGCCGGGGCAGTGTGTTGTACGCAGTTCTTTTGGACTGTCTGCATGCCCATGATGTTCAGGGGGCAGGACTGAGCACGCCGTCCGTTGACAGTTGCTGCAAGGTTGTGAAGTTTTGCCGAGCAGCCATAGCTGGCC